GCCACCCTCTGCGGGCCCCCCCATGCTGGCTCCTGGGGGGTCCACAGCAGCCTAGCGGCCCATTCTGCAGACGGGAGCACGGAGGCGGGGTGAGTGACTCACACTCCTGCCGGGCTCCCCAGCCCGGCTCTTGTGCGTTAGGCGCAGCTGTGGCTTGACCTTCCTTTGGCCACGACGGGCACTGGGCTGGGCTCGGGGGGCCCCTCGCCTCCAGGTGCTAGCGGGGGAGGGCCCCGGCCTGGCACTCTGTGTGCCGTGTGAGGGCGTGGGCGTCTCCCAGCAGTGAGCCGGCCTGCATGTCTGTGCTGGAGCACAGTGAGCAGGGCATGAGCCTGGCTCGGAGGCCGGGCAGCGTCACCTGCATTCCGGGAAGTGTTTGGGGGGGGGGTTCAGGCTTCCTCCTGGGAACCCGGGCCAGGCTGGCCTCCCTCGGGTCCTCAGCGCCCATCTGCCACGTACAGGATTCTGACCCTCTGTGGGGCCCCTGCTTCTGCAGCCCAGGCCGCTCTGGCCTCTGGTCGCCCAGCCCTTGGCTCGAGGGGGGCTGCAAGGAGGCACCCGCCGCCAGCCCCCCACACGTGTGGAAAGTGGGCTCTGCGCACTGTGGCCCACAGGGAAGAAGAGCACCCACAGCGGTGCCTCGCTCTCCCGCCTGCCCTCTTCTGAGTCAGCGCACTTGTGACTTGAGCCGCATCTTCGCACAGTGGTGGCTTTCATTTTTTCTCTTTTCTGTTTCTGTCTGGCCGTAAGACGTTTAACCTTTAACATTCGCTCAGGGCTGGGAAATGAAATGCCCGTTGTGTTTGTAGATCTGGATATTAGTCCTTTGTGGAATGTTCGATGTGAGAGTATTTTCTCCCATTTGGTAGGATTTTTTTTTCTTTTTTTTTTTGCATTTTAGTGATAGTTTCCACCTTGCAGAAGCTTTTTAGTTTGACACGTTCCCAAGAGTTTATTTTTGCTTTTGTTTTCCTTGCCGTTGGAGCTGAGTCCCCACAGAAATCCCAGAATCAGTATCACAGAGGGTTTTACTGTATTTTCTTCTATGTATTTTATGGTTTCTGGTCTCACATCCAAGTCTTTAGCCCCCTTTGGGATAATGTGTGTGTTGTGTAAAGAGAATGGACAATGGTCTGGTTTCATGCCCCTGTGTGTGGCCGTCTGCTTTCTTCCCCAGCACCGTTTGCTGAAGGGATTTTCCTTTCTCCATTGTATATCCTCAGCTCCTTTGTCCTACCTACTTGTCTGTGTAAGTGTGGGTTTCTTTTTGGCTCTTGATTCTAGTCTGTGTGTCTATTTTTATTTTAATACCAGACTATTTTGATAAATGTAGCCTTATAGTATGTTTTGAAGCCTGGGAGCATAATAACGCCATTCCTTTTATTTTTTGGTCAGAATTATTTTGGCTTGGGGGAGTAGCTCAGGGATAGAGCATTTGAGTGCAGAATTATTTTGGCTATTTGGGGTCTTTGTGGGTCCATATAAATTACAGTAATGTTTTCTCTGTTTCTTTGAAGAATTCTCTGATAGAGATCGCATTGAATCTATATATTGCTTTGGGTAAGGGGTACGCTTTAGTAACTCTGACTCTTCCAGTCAATGGGGAGGGAATATTTTTCAATATTCTTATCATTTTTGTTTCTTTCAGCTGTGTCTTATAGTTTTCATTGAATTGGTCTTTCACCTAGGTACTTAAGATGCCATGGACAATGGTATTGTTTTCTTGATTTCTTTCTCTTCTAGTTCATTATTTGCACGTAGGAAAGCAGCTAATGTTTGTATATTGATTTAGTCTCCTGCCCCTTTACTATGCTGCACATTGTTTCTAACAGTTTTTGATGGGGTCTTTAGGGTTTTCTGTGTGTAGTATCCGGCCACCTGTCGATCAGGATAGTTTTACTTCTTTCCCAACTTTTACAGCTTTCCTGTGCCATTATCCCTTTCGTGTTTCCTCCTTTCTCCTCTTCCCCCCCCCCCACTCTCCTTCCTCTCCTAATTCTACTTCTCTTCCCCCAACAAGACTTCCTTCAGGCTGCCTCTTCTCTAAGACTCTCACATGGGCTTCAGTCTGCCCACACTGTCGGACAGGGAGCATTCCCGACGGACGATGTCTGTTAGTTTTCTTCCTCCTTCTGTCTCTCTCCGTCCACATCGGGCTTGGTCTGGAGTTCAATGGGTTCAGTGAGCTGAACGAGACCCTGGGAAGACGGGGTCCGGAGGCCTGCTCCGTCTTTTCCGCCACTGGGCCTGATTCTTTAGGGGCCCCCTGTAAAATGGGCTGAGCTTGAAACTTCTCCATGTGGGCCTCAAGCTCTCCAGACTAAGATCTTACAGAAACAGGAGGCATTTGTGAGGCTGTTAATTGGCGGCAGCTTTAAACAGACCACCCTGAATGGAAAATAATGCAGTGTCCCCAAATGTGGCCAGTAAATGCTCATTCACGTATTGAAGTGTGCAGCAGCAGGTCAAGAAAAAAGGCAGACGGCAGGCGGAGCCCAGCCGCTGGCTATTAGCGGCTCCAGCGGCTGACCTCTGCATTTCACTGGCTTTCTTTTTGTTGGGCTAATTCCTGGAGCAATCCTCCCAACAGCTCATTTCCCCAGGCTGTAAGCAGAGGCTGGCCAAGGGGCCTGGTGGCAGGAGTTATTGCCACGGCAGGAAGTGCTCAATGGCTCCCATTTACTGTTAGTTGGAAGGGGAAAAGGCTGGCTCTTTGCGACAATGGGGCCGAAAATTGACCTGACTGCATGGCCAGGCCGGTCTTGAAGTGGACAAAGGGATTCTCGTGTTGCTCAAGTTTCGTGAAGAACTTGGTTTTTTTTTTTTTTGTTCTAGAGGTGTGTTCTGTGTGGATTTTGCCCATAAGGTCAGTGTCCTTATCTGTAACATGGGGAGAATCTTCCTCCGAGAATGTGAATGTGTGCATGGGCGCCGGCCGTTGGAAGGCAGGCCCCCCCCCCCAGCTCACCTGCTTGTACATGCTTTTAGTCTTTCGGTCCTGTGGGTTCTGTTTTTCTGAGATGTTTGGTCCAGAGTAGCTTAGCCGCCTGCGAAGGGCACCCGTGGCCGGCCGTAGACTGGGGGAGAACTTTGACTTCAGGCTGCGAGTCTGACTACGGCCAAGTTGCCCCGTGCAGATGTCGAGACCCCGCGCTCGACGCTCTGAGACTCCGTTTCCTCATGCGCCTGGTGTGGACTAGTGTGTCCGGCGGGAGCCAGTCTCACAGCTCAGGCGTGGGCGCAGCCCCGAGGCCAGCACGACCTTAGGCTGGTCGTAAGGGCTTGTCTGGGCAGGTGTCCTGGCAGTTGTCCTTCTTGGACAATTTTTTGAAGTCAAATGCGACTTTGAAAAGCAACAGTGTTGTCTATAAGTATTATGCAGGGATATGGAAGAAGGGGATAGCCTCTCTCCTCTGCTCCCGGGCGTGGGGCTCACCTCTTTTCCCTTGCCTGTGCTGTCTTTGTAAAAACGCATCCGATAATGTCAAAAAGTAGCCATTAACCAATTTAAAAAGTAGCCTAAAGAGGCCACAGTTGTTATCACGATGCAATAAAAATCAGAAAAGGATAAAATAAGGCTGACCTCTCTCCTCCCAAGGCTTGATTATTTAGAAATTGAACATGCACTCCTGGATAATTATCACATCAAAGAGGGAATGGAAGGGAGATCATAAACTGTCTCAACATAGATGAAAAGAACACTTACCCTAAACCTCTGTGCCACAGTAAAGGAGGTACTCAGAGGAAGATGCAAAGCTGTAAACACCTTCCCAGGTGAGAGATAAAGACGATGATAATCATTTTAAGAAGTTTGAAAAAAATACAACAAAAGGAGACAGAAGGAAATACAAATAAAGCTAAACTTAGAGAAATTTAGAAAACAAATGGAAAATCAGTATAAATGCTGATTCTTGGGGTGGACTGAAAATGGAGATTTGGCAGAGGTGTTATCTGAAAGAATTCTGAACAGATACCTGCACCTTGATTGGTGGAATATGATGCAGCCGTCAAAAAGGTTTCAAATCCAAGGCATGTGTAATGATTGGGTAACCTGTAACATTCGGTGAAAAAAGAGAATAAAAGACTTATAGCTTGTAAATAGGAGCTTTCATCAGACCTAGTCCGAAGTTCTGGAAGGAATCCAGTCTGGGAAGACACATCAAAGTGTCTTTGTAGCAGTGAAGCCCTGTGTAGGCTGCGCACTCAGATGAGTCTTGAGACTGTTGTGCTGAGCCGTCACACAACCCTGCAGTCTGTGATCCCAAGGCTAGGGAGTTTCCAGAGTAGGCAAAGCCACAGAGAAAGTCTGTCAGTGGTCACCTGCGGCTAGGGGACTTGGGCACTGGGGGCTGGCCCTGCAGGGTCAAACCTACAGGGTGGGAGACTTCTTGGGGGGATGAACATGTTCTGCCCTGAAGAGCCCAAAACCAGTGAATTACACCCTTCCAGAGGGGGGACAGTTTGGTCTGTGATTTCTATTCTGGTCAACTGGCTACTGGGGGGAAAAAAATCACACAGTTCCCTTGGGGAAGGAAGTGGCTGTGATTGCCCCCTGCCCCCCTTCCCGCCTCCTCTCTGATTTCCGTATTTCCAGATCGTCCAGGTGTCATTCCTCATGACTTGCTTAATGGAAACATACACGCATTGGGGTGGGATGCCTGTCCCCAGCCAATGCCTGCTGAGTGCCAGGCCCTGGGCCCTGGCCGCCCCCACATGCAGGCGGGTGCAGGGCTGCCCCGAAGGTCCAGGAAAATCAAACCTCATTTGCCTGGGGCGTCTGGGGGCGGGGTCACCTCCCAGGCAAGCGGGGCATGCCTAAGCCCACTTCTGGTGGCTCCTGGAGGAGGTGAGGGAGCTGCTCTCGCTCCCTGGGAGCAAGCTGTTACTTATATGACTTCCTGCCATTGCAGCCGAGCGCCCGCCCCCGCCTGCCGGAGCAGTCCCCTCCCACCCGTGGGTCCCCAGGCCCGGCTTTGACCGCCCCTGCGGTGTTTTGACAGAGCGCCGCGGTCTCTGCGGAAGATGGGGAACTCCTACGCCGGGCAGCTGAAGACCACGCGCTTCGAGGAGGTGCTGCACAGCTCCATCGAGGCCTCCCTGCGCTCCAGCAGCCTGGTGCCCCGGCCGGTCTTCTCCCAGCTCTACCTGGAGGCCGAGCGGCAGCTCTCCGCGCTGGAAGGTAGGGCTGCCCGCTCCCTCCGCGCGTGGCCTGGCCGCCCAGCCCCTGCTCTGCTGGGCAGACAGTGTCCATGGAGAACGTCTGGGTTCTTGGGAACCCCAGGCCTTCCCCTGACCAGACCGTCCCAGAGCGCAGCTGCAAGGCACTGATGCGGAGGGCCGGGGGCTGCAGCGGCTGGACGCGGCCGAGGTGGGAGGCGTGGGGGTGGGGGGTTGTGTACCTTGGACCCGGTTACGTCTTCTTGCTCTTTGTTCCCTGAATCACACTGGTGGCTTTGCAGGAAAAAAAGAAAAAGCCAAGGAGCACGCTCCCTCAGGCGTGGGGTCTCCTCCGTTGACTTAGCTCTCTGGAGAGCGAAACAGTCGCATTGCTCAAGTGTTCGCTTGTGTTTTTATGGCTGTGCGTGCTCAGGGCGGAAGTCACCCCCCGGCCATCCGCGCCGGGGGCAGTGCCTGTTGCGGAAGGTGTAGGCCAGAGGTGCAGGGGGTGAGAGGAGTCACCAGAGTGGGGAGCAAAACCAGCAGATCCACTGAAATCCCGTGCTGAGGGAGCAGCTGGGAGACAGGAGGGGTCTGCCGCGCCCTGCGGTCACTCCCTGGCCGGGACTGGGGCTCGTGCAGCCTGGTGACAGCGCTGAGACTTACGCCTGAGGCCGCCAGCGAGGGCTGTGACCGTTCCCTTGGCAGTTTGTGTCTTGAACTTGAGACACTTGACCCAGCAGGGGCGAAGCGGAGGAGGGCCCCGGCTGCAGACAAGGATGAGTGAGCCATCGAGTGCGAAAGCGTGCCACGCGCTGGTGCGGGGTGCAGGCGTGCGTGTGGGGGTGCAGGTGTGCGTGTGGGGGTGCAGGCGTGTGTGGGGGGGTGCAGGCGTGCGTGTGGGAGTGCAGGCGTGCGTGTGGGGGTGCAGGTGTGTGTGTGGGGGTGCAGGTGCGCTCGGGGGCTGCGCCGCTGCACACCAGCGGGATTGGGGTCCCAGGTCCCGTCGATGGTCCCTTTTCCTAGCCGGGGCGTTTCTGTGTCCCCTGGAAGTTCTCACAGCATTAATCTGCGCCACTCTGGCAGCGTTCTGACGAAGTTAACCTTGCAGACAGCAGTAGCTCAGGCCTAAACCACCACATCGGCGGGAGACCGGGCGGGGCGGTGTGCAGTCTGCACTGCTGTGCCGAGCGGGAGCCGGGGGAGACCCGAGCGGGACTGAGGCTGTGCCGTGGCCGGGAGTCTGCGCCCTGCTGTGAGCGGGCACCTTAACTCGCCACGGTGGGAGGCTTGGCTGCCGAGGCCGAGTGCGTAACAGTGGTCACGCTGAACAGCTTGGTGCTTGGAGCGGAACCCTAAGAAACCTACAGTGTCTTCACTCTCACGGGGGTGAAATCCAGTGGAACCCCAGACTTTGGGAAGACGGGAGCAGAGGGTGCTTGTAGTTTCGGAGAAGGGGAGCGGCAGCTCTGGGGTGTCCCGGGCAGAGGTGACGCTCCCCGGGGGGACAGGAGCCAGTTGGGCTCCCCACCGCCTCCCCTTCTGCTGAGATCTCCTTAATCCCCTCTCTGGGCCCCCCACTGGAGGCTCCATCTAGAATGTTCTATCTCCTGGGGAGGCCCCACCTGCCCGGCAGCCTTGAAGCTGCCCGCCCCCTTCCTCTGTGTTAGTGTGAAAACCTGGATCCTCCCAGCTGTTCAGCAAGGAGAACACGGACGGACACCCTCTGCGATTTTCGGGGAGTTGGTGGAAAGGGAGTTGGTGCAAACTTTCACGTTTGCAGAGTGTCACCTAAACTCAGCACTGAGCTCCAGCCTGTCTCTGGCCCTAAAACTGGGCAGGCGGCCTGTCCGTGCCGGGGCTCGTCTGCCTGTCTGCCTGACTGGTAGAGACGTTTGCTGTCCTTCCTCAGACACTAACTGTAGAGGCTTTTCGGGTCGGGGTGCCTGTGCCTGGCCCCCACAGCTCTTCAGAATCGGGCCACCCCTTCTAGGGAGGCAAGCGTTTTAATTTTGGTCTTCTCAGGAAGACCAACAAAAACAGCTAACTAGCAGGATGCAGGCCAGAGCCTATATTGCCCCCCACTCCCCCCCTTTCCCCCCAGTAGCCCCGGGGAGGCTGCTAGGGCCTGGCGCCTGAGAGCTGGAAGGCCCGCCCTCCCGGGCTGGTTCTGTCTGACACCCTCAGGCCCTCGGCCCTGCCTGCCCGCGCCTGCGACTGACTGTCTGGTTTCCTTTCTCAGCGGAAGTCGCTCCGCTCCCAGATCCCATCAAAGGCCCTGGACCGTCTGGGTGGACCTGACCTTTAACCTGAGTTCTCTCTTTGCCGGCCTGAGGCTTAAGCCCTCCTCTTTCACCCCTCCAGCCTGCATTCCTGTTCGCTTCCGCTGGCCGCTGAATGGGCAGTCCCCGGGCCTGGCTTTCTCTCCCTCTTCATGGGACGGTTGGCCGGGTCTCCGCCCCCGGGGCCTCTGCAGCTCTGAGCGGACCTGTCTTGATTTCCTGCAAGGCCCTCACGCCACCCAGAGCTCAAAGGGCGGCTTGGGCGTCCAGAGTCGTGCAGTGTCCTGGCCCCTGGGCTTGGCCTTCTGCTGACCCCCCACCCTGCTGCGTCTAATGGAGGAAGAGGCTGAGGAGAACCCCCGTTATTTGTGCTCTTCCTGGCGCATCTTTTTACGGTCTCCCCACCTCCCGTCCTCCGGAACTCTCGGCTCACTTCCTGCTGTGACCTTGCCAAGGTCACGGGCGGGGCTGCCTGGGCTGCCTGCCTTGCCCTCTGCCGTGGCTAGTGCCTCTGCAGGGGCGGCGGCTCCGAGCTGCATTCCCGGTGCCCGCCCTGGTCCACGACACCTGCAATAACCGCGCCACTCTGCAGCCTTCTTCCCCGATGGCCAGCTCAGCCCGACCTGCTGGGGCCACATCTGCAGAAGCTGATGCCCAGGGAGGTTGAGGCCTGCCGGGCCGCGGCTTCGTCACTAACTCAGCGCCCCGAGTCACTTGACCCGCTGCGGGGGCGGGGCGGGGTGAGCCGAGGAGAGCCGGGCGGTGGCAGCTGGCACAGCGGCCCTGAGGCAGGACACGGGCAGGGGTGGGAAGCAGCTGCGTCCCAGGGGTGTCCTCGGGGCTGCCGGTGACCCCCCGGAGCCGCAGACCTGTTACACCGCCGCTGCACAGCTGGCCAGGGAGGGAGGTTTTCTCCCTGACGGTCGGTTGGAAGAGGTCAGAAGGAGGCGGCTTCGGCCGCCCAGGGAGCGCCTCGCAGGCCCCTCTCGCGTGTCTGTCCGCATGTTGGGCAAATGAGCTGGACCTGCGGTGCTCCAGTCCCCCGGCAGGTATTTCCTGCCCCTCTTCTGTCCGAGGCGTTTTGTGGGGTGTCCGGGCAGCTGCACAGGTGAGGGGGCCGAGTCTGGGGCCGAGGCCAGAGCACATTT